CCGAATCCACGCAGAGGCTGCACCACTTGTTGCCAGGCTCAAAACTCGAGTTCATCCCTTCCTCCAAGTGGTCATGGCAGCTGGAGGGCGAGGACATTTGGGACCAGACTGCGATGTTGTTGAAGGAGGTACTGCCTACTGGCGTCGAGGTACATTCCGGTCCGGTGCATATCTTCGCATGCGAGGAGAGGAGGCAGGTACATGTGGTTGGGCCACTTAGTAGCAGTGGAAGTCACCTGTATCCTTTCTTGGGGATGCTATACCCAAGATTTATCCTCAAAGGGAGTTAGCTCTTCTGGGAAGCTGGGCCAGTAAGGCCGGACTCCTCAGCATCTGCCCATGTCCTCTACCTGGGCCTTCCGCGGTTTATTCCCTTTCAGTTGCAGCTGCCGGCACTGAAGCACTGGGCCAGGGTGCTGCGCGTGAAGATCTGGGCGATCACGGAAGATAGCATCGACATTGACAGGTGGAAACCATGTCACTCCAATCCCAAACCGCTGGAACCCTAAACCCTAAATCGCAGAGCTTAGAACCCTTGACCCTGAACCGTACCCCTTAAGTTCAAGGCCGGACCTCCTAAACCCTAAACCCCTGAACAACAGACCACAATAGTACTAATCGTAGGAAAATAGGAAGAATAACAACCCGCAAGACCCCAAACCCCAAACCCTAAACCTAAACAGCTGACAGGTTGAAACCTGGCACTGATCCCCGCGAGTTCCAGGAGCCACCGAATCCCAAACTCCAGAACCCCTGATACCGTAAAGCCCCAAAAGGCATAGAAGGGTTCTACAGGGGTTCTAGAAACCCCAAAGCCTGTACCTTAAAGCCTGACCCTAAACCCTAAACACTGAACCCCGCACTGAAACTCGAAACCCTAAACAAAAACCAGACAAACAAAGACACCTACGCCATGAACCCAGGAGGAGCTTGTTTCTTTGGTAACTGCCTTGCTGCCACTGCTGGGAGACAAGTTTCTATTCGTCGACAGCACCCTTGCCTGCCTTTGCTTTTGGTGATGTTGGGGTTTAGGGCTCAGGGGTCCCAACGGGTTTAGGGGCTTAGGGGTTAGGTTAGGGGTTCAGGGTTTAGGGTCTACGGGTGAGGGGTTGGGGTTTAACAGATACATAGGTACGTTTGGCTGTGGCACATCTCTGGCGTGGCGGTTTAGAGAAAAGCTTTCGGGGGCATTAATTTTCAACGTCCACCTCTTCATGGCACCTGATTTCGACGGGACGGAGCCTGCAAAGAAGATTAAGAACCGAATGGCAAAGCTGGGCGAGTATTTCGATCAACGGGACATGGACAATATCTTGGGGGTGCTCCCCGACTTCATGTACCCGACGGGCGGCGCAGATGGGGTGGAGGCCACAAAGAAGGCCTATGCGGAGGCACTGTCTTCGGCGTCGGAGAAGTTTTGGAAGCTCTCTGCGCTGCAGCCTTCGTGGAATTTCGAGCACCTGACGACCATCCTGAGTTCGCAAGAGGAATGGCACATGGACTCGCTTCCTGTGGTGTTGGCCTGCAGTGATCAAGCACCCCTGGTGGTCGTCTCCGAATCCACGCAGAGGCTGCACCACCTTTTGCCAGGCTCAAAACTCGAGTTCATCCCTTCCTCCAAGTGGTCATGGCAGCTGGAGGGCGACGCCGTCCTCGCGTCAGTTACCGAACTGCTGGACACTCTGCTGCCCCGATGGCTGTCAGACAAGCACTTGAACAAGCGTTCCTCTTTGCCACTTCTGGACCAGCAGGTGGGGATTCTTGCGCACAGGCTTTTGATCTTTGTGGGAGACGGCCGTAGCCCAGACCCTCCACCCACAGTTTTTTTTGCGTTTGTAACAGAAGACATCTAGGTCATTATCCCTCCGACCATCGATGCTGCTGGGGACGAAGCGTTTTGTCGCAGCTGTACTGGAAGCTGCCGTGCTGAGCAGAACCTCTGCCCAGTGCAATGACTATATTGCACTATAATGTACTACAATAGTACTATAGCAGTATACTACACTATACCATAGCATGCCCAGTGCAATGATGTTTTAAAGAGAAGTACCCGCCACAGGCAGCAGGGTTGCCGCAGTGGCTCGTGGCTGCTTTTTCTGCCGATGCTGTGCTGAACTACGTACCGGGGACACGATACAGAAAAGCATCCTCTGACATGAGCAGAGCTTAATCACAGCAGAACGTGAGAGAGCCTGCACAATCCCATAAGTGTTTGGGGCCTCTGCATCGCCTGCTGGTGTCGACCACAGCCGAAGTGCTCGATATGCTCCATGCGGTGGCGGCCAAGCCAGCACTCGTGTGTGGCAGGAGCCATCTGGGGGTTTCCGAAAATAGGGGACCCCAATATAGTACCCTAAATAATAGGATCCTTATTATAAGGACCCCAAAATACGGTACCCCTTATTTTCGGAAACTCCCATCTTCAGCCGAAAATGCGCAGAAGCCATGGCTTCGCCTGGCATTGGGCCCAGCCCCTCGATCTTCTGCGTCACCCTTGCGCTGTGTTAGTCATGCAAGCGCCACAGTAAAGTTTGTCAAACAGTAAGTAGTGTAGGTAAGTAAGTAAGCGAGTATGTAGGCAAGTGAAGTAAGTCAGTGTGTATGTAAGTATGTAATCTAAAGTATGGATGTATGCATTCATGTATGTATTTACGTGAGCCTGTGCGTTTACGTATGTGTGTATGTCGTGCATACATGACGCATGACTGTTCCCGTTAGGGAATGGGCGAACGAACGAACCACAATACGGCTTTCTGGTGTAGTTCCTTATCGTAAAGACTTGTACATCGCGGCCAATAGAATCAGCAGGGATCATGTCAATGGTAACAGCACCTATGCAGCAAGTATGAGCAGTAAGAATATTGCTTACGATTCCGTCACAGCATGTGCACATGAATTCGGAGAATTTTGGAGGTCGGTGTGTATACGATACATGCGAACAGACTTCGATGCCTCT